AATACGATCTTCCCGTTGGGTTGAGCGTTGGAGTAATTTCCTGTCTTGCCATGTTATCCTGCAAATTTTCTCTCTGAAACTCAAATATCACTAAACTAAAGTGTGTGACTTGGTTAACTTAACAATATGCAAAACTTGGGATCTGTTTTTGATACTGACTTTGTTTTAACTATTATGTGATTCAGGGATGCAAGCCAATCCCGATGGAGATTGGAGGCACTTCAACAAACATCACACCAAGTTCTTCACGGCATCCAAGTCCCCCGTCATCATACTTTGCTAGCCCAATTCCATCTTATCAGCCAAGTCCAACTTCCTCTTCTTTCCCCAGTCCATCCCGTGCTGATGCTAACATGTCATCACATCCATATTCTTTTCTCCATAATGTCATTCCTTCATCCCTTCCTCCATTACGAATATCAAACAGTGCCCCTGTAACCCCACCACTTTCATCACCAACTAGGCATCCTAAGCAAACATTCAATTTAGAGACTTTGGCCAAAGAATCAATGTTTGCTTTAAACATCCCTTTCTTTGCTGCTTCAGCCCCAGCAAGCCCAACTAGGGAGCGTTTTACTCCTCCAACTATACCCGAGTGTGATGAATCTGACTCATCTACCATTGATTCAGGCCAGTGGATCAACTTTCAAAAGTACGCGGCAAACGTTCCACCTTCTCCAACATTTAATCTTGTAAAACCTGTGCCTCAGCCACTTCGTCCTAATGATATGATCACAGACAAGGGTAAGAGCATAGACTTCGACTTTGAAAATGTATCAGTCAAGGCATGGGAAGGGGAAAGGATTCACGATGTAGGATTCGATGATCTGGAACTCACACTTGCAAGTGGCAATGCTCGCATATGATTGAGATTCTCTGATTTAGTTAGCTGATGAATCACTTTGCATTCCAGTGGATTATTCGAGCCTCATCTGGTGAGATATTGCACAAACGTAGAGCTTGCATAAATTGCTTCTTAGGATGGATTGGATTTTCTCTGTTGCTATTTACCTTATGTATAACATTCTTTCCCCTTATTTGCAAAGCCCCCTTCAAAATTTATACAGGTCTTATCACAAGCATTTCGTGTAGATATATGCTTTGCTTCTATGGTTGAGAATCATTTTCTTCATTGTAGACTAGATGGAGCTTCTTCACAACTATGAACTATCCACATTTGTCTATTAGAACTCGTTTTTTTTTCCTTTCTATCGGAACTAGCTTCAACAATTGAAGTCGATGATGTACCTTGTAGTCTCTCTGATGTTTTTCGTGCACATCATGAAGACATGAAACGCGTTACAGTTTATACATTCAAGATTTTGTGTTGTGTCTAGTTGAAGATATTCTTGCTGTATTTTGGCCTAATAGCAAGATGCAGGGGTAATGGATCTTGTTATCAGATTGTAAGGATTGGGCTCTGATAAGATGGCCAACCAAATGGTTATGTTTCATTCCAATTTTGTGATGTCTCTAAAGACACAAGCTAAAAATGACTATATTCACCGGAAGGTACAAGTAGCACACATCGAAAATAAAATGAGAAAACGTCACTTGAGATGGTTTGACAATGTCCTGAGTCGAGACCTAAAATCATATGGAAGGAAGGAGTTGTCTCGAAAGACCTATAATCTTTTGAAAGACATGTAGACTCAATGAAAGGCAGGACACAATCAAAGATAGTTATGTCAACTACTATTTGTTAGTGTACAGAGCAAATTTTATCGTTATTTATTTGAGACTGAAGCGTAATTAATGTTATTATAATTATCAAGTTAGTTCATACTCACTTATTAAAGTCAAGGTTTAGAAAAAGATCTGACAAAACATTGTTAGATGACAACAAAAAAAAAGAATTTCATTCAGAAAATCTTTTCGAAATAAAACACAATTACAATAGAATTAATCCAAGACCAACAATACCAAGTCCCAATTATTATTTGGTGACTTCACATGTATTTTTTCCTTCCCTCACTACTGGTAAAACTAACAAAAAGTAAAATGAAAAAACAATAAAAATACGTTTTAATAATATTGAAATTCTTGCATCCATAATTACCCAATTTTTTGCATGAAAAACCTTTTCACAAGATATGCAAATTCCTTGTAACACAAAAAACCACATTACTTCACATGTTGGTTTTAAACATAAACCACATGTAATATAATAGAACATTAGTTCATGCATTATAGCTGAAACCACAAATGTACTCACAATTGCTAATAAATTTGATGTATTTTTACCCAAAAAACTCAAATTCTTCAAAGCTTCATTTGTTGGATCATAAATTGTCAATCTCAACATTTTCGATGAGTATCGATTCCATCTCTTTCCCCAGAAATCTCGAAAAGATGTAGCTAAATACGGTTGCTTAAAAATCTCCTCCACCTCATACCTTTTGAAAATATTTATGTCGAAAATCTCATATTTCTGACTAACATCCCTTGGAATTTTTAGGTCAGAAATTGACTCGTCAGAAATTTTTCTGGTGGAATTTTCTTCAGAAATCTCATATTCTCGATCCACAATTTTTACATCATAAATTGGTTTATTGAAAGTATTTCTGACAGATTTTTCATCAAAAATCTCATATTTCGAAATTTTGAGTGGGAAAATGGAAATGAGTATAAAGTCAATAGGATTTTTGCAAAGGGAAAGAGGGCCTTTGTTGAAACAAAAGAGAATGAGTTTGAAAGAAGTAATCCATGTAATGAAAAAAGACAAAATGCCTCTAAGAAATGCAAATGAGAAACACCAAGGGAAAAAATACAAAATGTAAAAAATTGGTGAAAGTGCAATTATTCTTGGAATGCCTTTTGGGAATTTTGGAATTAAGAAATAAGAATAATTTAATGATAAAAGTAGAAGGAAAAGTACCAAGAAAGGATTTTCCAAGAATTTGATGATCATAATGTTGTAATATTCCATTTTTTGGTTTAATAGAGAATTCTACTTGAAGTTATATAGAATTCAATGTTTAGGGTTTCTAGCATTAAGGGTGTGGTTGGTATGAAGGAAAAATAGTTGAATTTCTTATTTTCGGTACATAAATAAAAATTATTAGTATTAAAGTCTCTGTATATAATCCAGACAAATATCCTTATTACATCTTAAGGAATTATCTTACATGTTGTCATTTTTTTTTAATGTCGGAGAGGCAGTGCTTGGTCTCCTAATCTAGTATTAGTTAATATTTACATAATATACATTATTATTCGTTTTTTCACTATTATATTGTTATACATGTAATTTTATTTCCCTGTTTATCTTGTTATTCTACCATTGTTATTTTCCTTTCAATTCAGATTTGATTACACTTCTTTTGAACTAAGGATCTATTGGAAACACCCACTCTACGCCCACAAAGATAGAGACTAAGGACGGTATATATACGTCCTATTTTTTGAGATTCAACTTATAAAACTACACTAGATATATTTTTATTATTGTAACACATAAATATCCTACAATGTTTAATAACCTTACCTAACTTCTATTTTTTACATTTATTTCAATAGTTCAATGTATTAAAAGCTAACTATGCACATTTATGAATATTTAAACCAGTTAGTTGAGAAGCCAAAATTCAGGCTTTATTCTATTATATGATTTTATATGATCTAATTAATCGACTAGAGAAAAAGCTATACGTCTAGTAGAACACGATAATTTTGGTCAAAATCGTAAACTCGTGTTAAGGAATCCACTTAATATATTTAACATAATTTATCAAAACTCAATAATGTATTCTTTTTATGATTCACAACTCATTAACTCGCGATTTTTATTCTGCCTCTATGATAAAATGAGATTTAACTTGAAAAAAAAAACATATCATCAAGAGTATATATTATTATTATTATTATTATTATTATTATTAATATTATTATTTATTATTATATTATAAGTAGGAAGGTGCTTAGTCTAAAGTTGGATTACGAAAATGCCTTTCAACTTTTTTATTATCATTATCATATCATTATTATGTAACTTGTCAAAACTTCAACGGGCCTGGTTCAAACAAGTTCATGGGCTGAAAAAACATGGACCAGCTAAGGTCCGTTATTTGCGCCCCGGCCCGGGGCCAGGCCCAATTTTGTTTTCTAGGCCTTTTTTGGTGGGTCAACCCAGTCCGATAGGCTAAGCTCGGAACTTTGATACCAGTTACTGCTTAAATTCCATAAACTTCAAACATGTCATGTCTAAAGTTAGGTTTTACAAGAATGTGTGAAGTTTAATATGCCAATTAGAAATAATTGAACTTTAATCATATGTACATGAACTTGAGTTCAGGTTGAAATGCTTGAAGTTTCGACAAACATCAAACATACCATGTTCGAAGTTTAACATGACAAACAAAATGCTTAAACTTTAGTCATATGTGCATGAATTTCAAGTTGAAATGCTTGAACTTTAGTCATATGAAATGTCCAAACACCGCATGTCCCCCCCTCCCCCCCCCCCCCCCTCCTCATTATATACTAACCAATTTCAATTCTTTTATTTTCTTTTGTTAATCATGGTGTCCAAACCAATTTGAGCAATAGTTATTAGGCAACTCCGCTTACCACAACTAGGACATATGAGAAAAAAATTACCTCATGGTTTTGATCTCTGCTAAAATTTGAACTTGAGACCTCATAATTCTTAATTGACTTCATTGATCACTAGGTCATACCCCTTGATACAAAACAATTTGAATTCATATTGTGATGCATAAACATTTGCCTTGTGATTGGCATAAGCATTATATACATATGCCTTTTGAATCCACATTCTTTGATATGTAAGCTTAGTTGTTCATCCTTCTAGCTAAAAAGACACTATCAAAATTCAAAAACTAGTCCCACAAGCATCTCCATTTCATGTTGATACAACAACTCACTTCTAATTGTTGACAAACTTGCTTAAAAAAACCATATTACATACACTGAAATCATGTCATGTTACAAATACTACCACTTCCTAAGCATCATGACCTTAATAAGAACATTTTCTGTTCCAACAGATTCATTGAAAAGTGTCTATTATCTTTTACCTTTCTTTCAGAGACCTGTTGCTAGACTTTCTTAACTCCCAAGATGGTAAGCAGCCTTTCAAGGGTGATTGTAGAAATAACGAAGATGTCGATAACTGCCTTTGTCTTGTTGAGATTGAAGAAAGACAGCTGAATGCACTTCTTAGCCTTCTTCTTTCAGTAACATATTCTGGGCCATTAGGGTCATGTTCTATGGCGGCAACTTTCAGAGCCTCGGGTAGCATGCAGTTGAATGATGAACCTACGTACACGGAAAAGGAGAAAATGAGGCATATCATACAAAATCCTTAATAAACTCGAAAACCATGAGATAACCAGACAAAATTTTCCTTTACAAAACTTTTATACAGGAGGGGGCATGATGGGGTGGGGTGGGGTGGGGGATTGAGGGAAGGAAGAAGACAATCAACGTGGAATGTCATTTATGGAACTTGTTTTCCTATTCCCACGACGAGATCATGATTTGTAAGAAACTTGTTTTCCTAGAGAGAATGTTTTCAAAAATATTTTGACCAACCAAACATAGAAAAATAGAAAAACATTTTCCATAAAATATTCTCCTCCATAGCAAACACAATCGGATTGTCATTATGAAGCACATTATTATGAGGTTAGTTCTCCGAGACCAAGTCCATAGATAAATCTAGAGCCAGATGCTTGTAGGCACTATTAGTTGTAGTAATTGCTAATTAAAGAGAGGTGGAATGACAGAGGATTACCTAATTTTGCAAGTCGGTTTACCCACTTTGGTATCTTTTTCCCAGTGAGCTTGTAGCATGTATCGTTGCAAAAATGGTTGCAGTTCTTCGAAATCAAATGATATGTGTCACCATTATAGTTAGCAGCTTGACGTTCGATAAACTCTCTAACCTGACAGGGATCCAACTTTGTAACCCCAATGAATATGGACTTCCTAAACTTGAACCCCGGGCATTGTCGTGGTTCAACTTCAAAGACACCACTGCTTGAATAGTCATGAGCTCCAAATGCATATTCTACACCATGAACTGTAAAGTATGGGTCAGTTTCACTAAACGTATAAAAATATGAGACGCCAAATAGTAATACAACTAATTCAGACACAGATCCACTCATAGTTCTCCTTTTCCCATGTAAAGTTTCACATATGGCTTACTAGTTCTCATAAAACTATTAAGACGTAATGGTCAACCGTTAACACTTCTTCGGGATTCCCCTGTCGGAATGTCCCACATAAGGCTTTCTCAAGGGGATTAGAACCAAAATAGGAGTCAAAATAAGATGCAGAAAAGACTTCTTTTTGATATTCTGTAAATGAACGAATTTGGAATAACAAAAATGTGGAAAACTAATATATCTGTTACACACTCCATAACTTTCTAATCCCTCAAATTTAAGACCATTGTCTACATGTTTCCATGTTGGAGCCAAGATATTATATAGTCATCAAAAGCTTCTCTTTAGTGGCAACCAATACAACCTCCCGTCAAGAAACACAAGAAAGAAACTGATACAACCGTACAAATCAAGAAAGAAACATGCACTTAGACTTGTTAAGTTATTTAACGATAATAAGATAGTTTTCGATGAGTCCATGATTTGGTTCAGAGGAATCTCTCTTGCCATCAAAAAGTTTAAAGTACTTTTGAAGTTCATCGCTCCACCCAATACAACTTTAGAAGAATTTTACCAATTCTTTGGACTCGACTCAAAGACTTTGTAGAAAATGTAACCAGGTAGCATCATTTTGGGGACATTAACGGCAGCAAACCATGGGAAATTTCAGTAAGCACCTGAGATGTATTGTGAGGCACTAGAATCCGTAATGGCTCCTGTGTCGCTACATTATATGTTTAAGACCAAAGAACGGAGAGCAAACTTGACTTATGTTCCACTAACTTCAGACTTGAATTAGACTTCCCACTTTAAGCTAGACTACCAATACTAATTAAATGCATCTATCTGTTCTTGAATGAAATAAACCACATTTACAGGTTGGATTCTACATGGATATATCCAAGATACAAGTTTTGTTTCTGAATCTGAACACAAGACTTTAGCTAATTAGCTAAAACACAAGTCAAGATAGACAAATTAATTCATCGGGTGATGAAACATACCACAGTATATTGGATCAAACAAAACTAGGAAAAGCAATATATAAGGCAAAAACCCCAAAAGAACTGTATCTCCAAAAATAGGAGCAACATATCGATATCAAAAAATGGATATCGCTGTGTACATTGACACACAAATAGCCGTGAATAACAAAAAAAGAAGTGAGATGGAAAATCTAACAAGACTGTACCTTCCACACCAGAATGAAAAATACCAAGGCCAACCCAATATACATAGCCGTTCATAGGAGTCAAGTCATACACATTGAGATAAACAGGTGTGTCACCAGGACCATATCGATCTGATTTTGATTTGGGGAGCAAACAAAAATGTGCTGCTGATTTGGTCTTCAAATTGAGAGACGAAATTGATTTCCATCCTTTCTTTGGTTTTGTGGTCATTTTCCTTTCACTACTGAAATTAAGGTTCACTCAAGGCCCACCGGCCTCTTGATCTCTGCATGAACCAAGCAGCATAAGGAAACTTCAGGAACTTTATGAATCCAGAAAACCGAAGAAAGAAACTTTTAAAAATGAAAAATCAGAATAAAATTAAGTAAAGAAAGAACATAGAACGAGAAAATGAGAAAGTGAAACCATAGAAAGATCAATAATCATGGCTGTTTGATCACAATATCTCAATATAGTCGTATGCTGAATGTGAAAATCCTGCACTAGATAATGTTAGGCATGCAATACTATTGGTGACATGCTTTACAACACTTGTGTTTTATCTCCGCAACTATAGATCATATCATTTATCACTAAAACAAGCCCAAAAAAATTACTTTTGTCACCTAATAAAACTCATAGTAGTTGACCGTTGGATTACTAGCTTCCTTCAGATTTTACGAGTTATAGTTCTCATTCAACAACATACCATAATTGGTTTATTGTACTAACTACTAAGCTATATCACGTGCCTTAGAACTGATAGCCAGGAAACAAAATTTTAAACTATTCAGGTAAAGTTTTGGCCTTACACTGACATTGTACTGCCCTGATATTTCTTTCCTGATCTAAACAACTTTGAGTATAATGTAGGGAGACTTGAGAAGAAGCGTAATCATCAGCAAAACCCAATGGAGCACGTGTTGTTGATTAGCACTATAACTGAATAAGGCTTACGAGAGATTTAATGATAACATTCTATAAGAAGGTAGAGAACCAGAGAGCCGATGTATCTAAGCTATAACCGCTCGCTCGATGTCATTTTACTCCCATCCCTCCAAAAAACAACTTTGATGAATATGACATTATCATCCGCATTATATGCCTTGCCTTCCAAACGACGTTTTCTATCCAACTTCACACTAGATCATCAACACCATCACATGCAAGGTAGCACACAACACTTATTGTACAACAGCACTTTTGACTTGCTGAGAACAAGTATCATGCAATATAAAAACTCTATTTCCTTTTTGCAGTAAGGTATAAAAGTGTTCTTTTGATAACAGTGTATTTCACTTATCAAGTTAGCTGGTTTGTGATACCCCGCTTGACCCTTTGAGAATATAGAGTAATCTGCTTGTGCAGCTTTCCTGGTGAAATAGCCCCTAGTCTAACTTCTCAACCTTGAAATCTTCAATAATAGATTAAGTGCTCGACAGAAGGGGCTAAATGTTGGTAATCAACGAACCTTGAAATGTTCAATAATAGATTAAGTGCTCGACAGAAGGGGATAAATGTCGGTAATCAACGCCAAGGAAATTTCCTAGAAGGAATATAAGAATGAATCTTCAGAAGGGAGAAAGAGGATGAGAGGGACAAAAAGAATAGAATATACGATACCTGTCTCTTTCAACTTCAAAGAGAAGTCCACTAAATGTATGAGTGGGGAACCACTAATGTATACTATAATCTGTAGCGTGCATCCAGTAATGTCTTTTTCTTTAATCTACTTGTAGTTTTTTAAAAAGTCAAAGTTCAATTTCAAGGGAGAAATACAATATCTATTCATCAGCCAATATAAGGGATAAATTTGCTAATTTAGAAACATATATGCACAATCAACTATCTGGCAGCTACAATTGCGAAGAGATACGCATAAGAAAACACTTTTTGTTCGGGGTTTACCCTATGCGCACCCAAAGGGTAGCGGCTCCGGGTTCCCTTGTCATCAAAAGAGAAAACAGTTTTGTTCATTTAATATAACTGTTGTCACTTGAACATATATTTCCAGATAAACCATTACTGCCTTGAAACATAAGTCAAATTCAACTCAGTTGAAAAAAGGAAACTAAGTTGACTCTTCTTCAGCTCTAACAATCTCGCTAATGGTTCCAATAGAAAATCTGTTAAGTTCCTAATTAATCATTTCTCATAAATGTACATGCTTTACGCTTAGGATCTACGTAAATTTTATAAGAAGCCTTTTGCTCACATCCTTTCTTGGATAGCGAACAAATCCTGGTTCAAAAGATGAATATAAATTCAAGAAACCAAACAGATTGCCAAATATAGATATCAAATGGAAAATGCGAAAACAAAACAAATGTTCGTTTGGAAAGGACTTCGAAAGAGTAATAACATCTCTTACCTAATTTTTTCCAAAAAAAAGAGTTAAAATAAAATCCTTACCCCGGGATAGAGGATTCGAAGTCCAAGTCAAAAGCAAAGAAAGTAAACAGATTGAATCAAATGTCAATCATTATGCAATTGTCAACATCCATAGAAACACATAATTTTATTTTGCTCCAGATGTGCCAAGCAGAATAAATTACTACTAATTCAACATCTATACAAACAAACACATAATTATATTACTCTAGGATGACTACTAATTCAACAAAAACCAACTACTACCTCTCTAGACATGTAATCGCCGCCACATCGAAGCTAATTACATTTCCTACTTTACCCCTCAAACCATAACCTATTTCTCTAACTCATCTGCTTAAATTCAAAGGTTTTACAACAAAACTCAATTCTTTCAAACTTTTCATCCAAACCCCATGTCTTAAAATGCTATTTTCCCCACACACATAAGGAAACCACCAAAAATTTCTCATTAAACACACCATTTGCATATTTATGGAAAACCCAATGAAAGAAAAAAGGAAACTAAAGCAATCAGGCTAAATTAGCAAATCCAAACTTATAAAAATACCAGTTATACATCAGATCTTGCAGCAAGATTGAAACTTTGAAGCAATTCTTGAACAAACACAAACTTTAGCCAAGAATTAAGAGAAAAAGATCCAATCTTTACACAACAACAACAAAGGGAAAGCTTTTTCAAGAAATAACAACAAAAAATCAAGAAGAAGAAAGACTTACATATAGACATTAGTAAAAAAGATTGCAAAGACAGCAGCTTTTTAGCTTTCTCCAAGCATGTACACAATAACAATTCTTCTGTGAAGACGGGAGAAAGACAGATCACCCTTGAAATGAGGCTAATTGTGTCTCTGTCCAAGTGTTATTAACACATGCATAAAAAAAACAAAACCCCAGTAAATTAAACTTCAAGAAAATGTTGTTTGAGCAACAAGTGTTAATACAATTTTGCTCACAAGTAAATTATTTTTTTTGAAGAGAACACAGATTTCAGCAGCTAAAGCAGAAACTGACAGAAGGGAAGGGGGACACACACGCCCACACAAGTCTCTGTCCCTCTGCCTCACTTTCTTTTTTTTTCTTAAAATTTTCTAATATGAGTTTTGATTAATGGAAGAAAGAAGAAACATTTTTTAAGGATTTTTTTAAATTATTTTTTTCCCTTATTTGGTGTTCGGTATTCATATTGGAGCCCAATCAAATTCGAATTCAAGTCAAAAAGTTTCAGATTAGGGATAAAGTGTTTCCTAATAAAGACGACTTCGCGTGAAAAACTTTTGGATATAAAACATGATAGTTCATTCCTCTGTCTCTATTTTATGTGGCGGATGGACTAGTTTAGTCATGAAAATTGTAAATTTTGAAAAATTAATTTTTATTTTAAATAAAGAAAATGATATTTATTAAAATTTTAGGTTGTGTTTGATCATGAATATAAAATTGAAATAATTATTTAACTTTTATAATCGATCTAAAATGAAAGAGTGAATAATTTTTTAATGTTGTTCAAATTTTGAAAAAACAAGTAAGTTTCGGAATTTTTCAAAATTTTATAGAAATATGATCTTCAAAATTCAACTCTGAAAAAAAATAAAGAAAAAATCATTATCAAATGATTAGATAGAATCTTCGAGTATTTAAATAGTTTGAGAAAAGAATTATGAATTACATGGTTAATAAATTGAAATGATTTTAAAATTGTGGTCAAGGTTTTTCTTTTGAGTTCTCCATCTTATCTAAGTAAAAAATTATGGTATTAGTTCGAAAATACTTTTTAAAGTGGTATGTTACTCCATTTGTGTGTGCATAAATGGCTTTTTTCAACTTTATTTATTCATGTATTCTTGTCATTTGGTAGATCCAAATTCATAGCTTGTATTGAATTTGGGACTTCTTGTTTCCCCTATGTTTTGGAGAGTTTCAGATTGTACGAAAAAAGAGAAGAATTGGTGGTTTCTATGTATGTTTGGACAGTTCTTTTCTCATTGCTAGCTTTTGGCTTGAGTCAAAATCAAAATTCATTTCTTTACATGATATCATAGAAAGGTTCATCTCAATAATTATTTACCGATTATTGGTTATGTGCTCCCATATTAAATTTTTCATGCTCTAGATGTCGGGCCTTTAGTATGAGGTGGGGTGTTAGGTTATTAGGTCGGTAGTTATGTCCAAAGTTGTGTATCATTATTATGGTGTGAATAGGTGCTTCATTGTCGAGATAAAGAAAAGTATGGATCAATCAAAGGTCTCTTTAATACATTAAGATAAGATGTACACATACATTTTTTTTTTCACTGGAAGCATATTTGTTCCTTATATACCATCCCTTTTATGGCCGAGTAGACCTTTATGCACCTGCCTTTTGATTTGATTGTTGGTTAAGAAGTGAATTATTCATATATTAGAATTAATATAATTAACATATGCTTAGTATTTTTATTTTTTTATTTTTTTATTTTTAACATTATGCTTAGTAGTATTTTAGCTATTGTGTATAAAATCTAGCACATCAAGTACGATGTTTGGTTACCAGTTTACAATTCCACACATAACTAAAATATAATTAAGCTATGAGTAAATTTATTTATTATATTTTGCAAAGTAAAAAGATAAAATAATTAATACATGAATAACCAACATCCAAACAACCCCTAATTGAAGTTTGAGAATAATATGTTTTATGATATCATTTAGAATTACACGTTTACAATAATTAAGTTTAATAAAACCATTAATTACTTAATACTTTTGAAAAATGATAATGACTTTCAATTTACTTTGTCATGTTATCTTTAATATTTTATCGTGGCTTCCTCACTTCTGCTATTCCTTTTCTGGGACGATTTTATTATGTTTTTTGTTCAACCGCAAGTCTATCAAAAACAACTTCTCTAACTCCCAAGATGGCTAGTCACTAACCAGATAGGGATAATGTTTGTGTACACATTACTCTCATCGGTAATGACTTTCGATCGAAAATAATCATTTTAGAAAAACATTTTCTACAATTTAACATTATTATTAAACATTAATAATAATAAAAAAAGAGGCCTTGTTTTTATACTTATTCTTTTCCTGTTGGTTTTTTACTGCAGCTGGAATAAAGTTAAATTAGACAAAGCAAAGTTACAATTGAGTAAAGGACAAGCTAAGTTGAAGCTTGTGAAATGACAAGAGCAAAAGGAAAAGGACTAACAAAGAAAAGTAAGCATATTTGGAATTATATACTATTAAAATAAAATAAAATAAAATAAAATAAAATAATAAAATCAATTTTTTGTTTAATATTATAATATTAATAAGTTGTTTCGAAATACCTACGTATTGTTAAAATTAATGTAAATTTAACCAAAAATGGAATATAGATAATTTTTTATAGTTATATGTATAGTCGATTATAACTTGTTAAAAGGCATAATTATTATTGTAGTTTAGTGAAGTTTACGTTTCCTTTTGAAAAGATGCTACATCAATGCAATTTAGACAAAATTATAAAGTTTAAAGACGTTAGATTCTACTAATTTAAACTTGAAATATTATCTATACTTTACCAAAACTGTTTTTCATTTTTTAATTAAAATTGCTTTTGATTGATTATCCAAAAATATATATTCAGTATAATCTCGCAAATAAATTTTGAATAGGGTATGATGTTGGTGTATATGTAATGAAATCTTATTTCTATTTTTGTAAAATAGAGAGATAGTTTTCCGATAGACTCTCGACTATTCGATTGATTACCCAACAAAAAACAATAACAAAATACCCAGTGTAATATCATTAATGTGGTCTGGAGATTGGAGAGGATGGAGTATACACAGACCTTATCCATGCAGTTTTGAGAGATAGAAAGATTGATCGTTTCCGATACACACTCGATTAATTGGTTGATTACCAAACAAACGACAACAACAATATATACCTAGTGTAATATCATAAGTGGAGTTTGAGGAGGATAAAACGTACACAAACTTTATTCCTACCATGAAAGATAAAGAAGTCGTTTATGATAAATCTTCGACTATTTAATTGATTACCAAATTATTATTTTTTTTAAAAAGCAATAAAAAGGATGGATGAATTTATTTTTTGGAAAAATTTTATGATTAGCTTTGTTATTTTATTTTTTTTACTCATTATTTTCCACTAATTAAAGAAAAGGAAAATATCTGCAATATATCTATTCTAAGTTTAGTCACTATCTTGATAATGAAAAAAGGAAAAATAAAAAGGTGAAATGTCGACAAGATCTACGTTACAACAGTACATAAGTACAAGTATCTTCTTTCTTTTTCTTTTTTTAGACATGGTAAATAAATAGTCATTCTTTTTTTCAAAAAAAAATAATCAATATTCTTCTAAAAAAATGTCAAGTAATTAATAATCTCATTAAAAGAAAGGAGGAATATATATAAAATAAAGTTTGAGTATCTTTTTTTAAAAGGAAAAAATAAGAAAATTGAAATAATTAAATAAAGAAAATATTTCTGAGAACAAGCTCTCATTCGTTAGGATTTGTCCTAAATTTTTTCATCATATTTGGATTCTATCATAATTATGTTTTAATTAAGCAAAAAATTACTGGAAAAAAACTCTTATATATATATATATATATAAAAACTTTTTGTAGTGATAATTCAACGAAAGAGACCTAAAATATTTCTCTAGCTTCAATTTTTCTAATTTTTTTTCTCTTTTTGCGGGTGGAGTAGAAAGCTGATTTTTCCTTTCATTTTTAAAAAAACACAAAAATCGTAAAGAAAATTATTTTGTAATTCATCTTTAGTTGATGTCATAGCCTTATATACGGTTATAAAATTTAATCGAATGGTTAGTTGAAATGTAAAAATTAAAGGCGTATTCAGGATTTATAGATAATGGGTGCACTATTACAAAAAGGTGGATCTAAGATATAAATTTGACCGGTTAGATTCTTTTACTGAAAACCATTAAAATTTTAAAATCATGGGTCCAAAATTAACTTTTATTTATCCAAACCAGTTACAAAATATTAGAAAGAAAACTAAAACAAGATAGATAAAAAAATTCAAATTTCTAACATCACCTAGAGAGGTGCACCCAATCATCATCGTACTACATTATATGATACTTCGAGTCTGGATTCACGCATCTATATTTAAATATTTTTAAAAAATATAACACTACTATATATGATTTCGGGAGGGGACCATGGGTTCACGTGAACCCGATGACCCCCTACGCCCCTGGTAAGAATAATGTAATTTGAGGTTACTAGAAGGTAAAGATAACATGATTTACTAGTTTTGAATCTTTTGGATCATGAGTATAACTTTATTTGAATGGATTCGAATCATTTCAATTTATCTTTGATATGGAGTTTGAAATCGAACAGGTCTGATTGAAATTGAACAAGTCTGAAATGTTTTATTTGAACGTACAGACCTTATCTCCGCATAGAGCTTTCCTTATAGTACTGGGGCTAATGGATTGAGCAATTGCTAAATTATATTTTTTTGGATTATCATTGTGAATTGTTGTCCTTATTACTATCTAGAATTCAAGAAATCTCAAAACTTCTAATCTCTTAGTTGGAAATATAATTAATTTTAAAATTAGTTTATAGTGTTAATGTCAACTTATTTCAAGACAATATTTAAATATTCAGTGAACTTAAAAAATAACTCAAATTGCTATCATTTAAATTAATTTTATATTTTTCTATGTTGTCAATGTGATGAATGACTTATTTGGCTTTAAACTTTAAAAGGAACAAAGAACATGTCATAAATATGCAAATTGAATTAGAAACATTTTCTTTTAAACCAATTTCATATTTTTTTAAAAGTGTGATGTTCTTTGTTATGTCATTAACAAATACATTATGTGAAATGTTTGTTTATAATCTATAAAGTATACACTCTGTTCTCCCTCACTCTCTCCTTTCTCTCCGTCTTTCTGTTATGTAATGAATATCGAATAGTCATTGAAGGCTCACTAATTAAGGTATAATTACATTAGTCACATGTATCTATGTACTCAAATATATGTATTTGGGTAACTATAGCCGTCTTCTTCTTTTTTTA